ACAAAAAACAGGAAAAATCACGAAAACTCAACAATTTCTCCCAGAAGCCAAAAAGCAAGTACGACCCCCCTCCCAACAATGAGCAAGTACGACCCCCCTTTACAACGTCCGTGAAGCGAGAAAAATCAACTATCAAAATAAATTTTTCTCAGCCCAAATACGACCCCCTTTCCCGGCGGCCAAATACGACCCCCTGTTGAGGAATAACCAACAACGATGTGCCCTGCTATATGCACGTGAACACCGGACAACCTTGTTAACACCCTGTAAGCCTTGTAATCTCCAGTGAAGTCCTTTTTAAACTCCTGTCAAATTTGTCCAAATGACCAGCCAAGAATTAAAAAAAATGGGAATGGCGCTCCAGACTGTGGTACCATTCCACCAGCTTTGACAGGAAGTTACAGAGTAGTTAACAGGAATCAGCAGGACTCGCAGAGTGAAACACAGTTATGAAAGGCAAATGAAAAAGCGAACAAGGTGCATGACATGTGATAGCAAGGCTTACAGGGTGTTGACAAGTTGTCTGGTATTCACATGTCTACAGTTTACAGGAAGTGGTATGTTGACAAGCGCTCACGAATGTGGCCCCCTCCAAGGTTATTAGGCCTAGATTCATGATACGATAGATATGTACGAAAAAATTCAATGATATACGAAACTTACACTTCCGAAGTACTTGTCCAGTAATTCAACGTATCTATGGATCACCTCCAAACAAATCAGCTCGTTATCGGTCTGTTCAATAGCACAGCAAAAATAGAGCGAAGCGTACCTATAACTCATTTGCTGATAAAATATACTGCAGTTTTCAGTAGCAATAAAAACAGATAAAGTCTTCAAGGTGACGTGCCATACAATGCTAACAATAAGGCATATTCGGGCGGATAGGGAGGGGAGTTTCGCACGTTTCCTTCTTCATTAATTTCCTATACCAGTTTATGTTGACTTTCATGTAACACCTTGGTTACCCCTCTAAATTCTTGTCACCTGTAAACGAAACTCGTGCTATTGCACAGCTTTACAAGGGTTCACAGGTCTCCACATAGGTATGGGTAGTGATCGATGGGAACCAACAAAGTGCCCACACCAAAGCCGGACTGCGCCCAACATTGAAATTCTATCTCCTTTTTCAGATTTAGAAGAACCCAAAGAGATAATGTTCCAAATAAATGAAGTGTTTGATAACTCACCTCTTATAAACGATCTTAAGGTCCTTATATTCCAGAAAAGCACACATTTTGGGTTTTCTCGCGAGGATTTGAGTAATCAGTTCACGACAGATCTTCTTCTTCATCTAAAACAGAAAACGAATTAAAAGGGCCACCTAAAGTGAAAGATTACGTCGGATACATTTAGAAAAATCAATCAACGTTGGAAAGTACCATTGCTGCTGTACCGTACCATTGAAAAATGAGGTGTTTGAAACGCCAGTCTTCCAGTATAAACGTTTTGCTTGGAACCGGGAGGGGGGGTCTTTTTTGATATTTTTGATATCAGCAATTCATAGTAAATTAGGTTAAGACTTCCCCTTCCTCTTCTGGGGCTTGGAAACCAGAGCTCAGACTATTGGCCCTTGGGTAGCTTTTTCACGAGTAGGTGAAACAACACTTTTCGTCATGAAGATGTAGGGGCTAGTAACGTTCAACAAAGAATTTGCCAATATTCGTACCTTATCCTGATAAGCGGTGTACCATTTCTGGAGACGGAGCTTCCCCTGGCGACTAAACAACAGCATGAATTGCATCATTTTGTCGCTGAAATGAAAATTAGTTCAATTACAATTAGGCTCTACATCATAAACAAGAACGAATGAGAGCTTTTTCGGGGAAACTTTTGATGAAGCCTTCGGAAACAGCTCCGCAGAACCCCAAAAGGAACGATTCCATGTGTGGCGATTTAGATTGACAGTTAATTATAAATTAACTGTGCTTAGGAAATGGAACATAGCGAGCAGAAAGATTGCAGTACAATCGAAAAGAAAATAAGAATAAAAGCAAACAGGATGGCAACGTATCCAGCATTGCCCAACTAGAAATTATTGACAGCGGCTGCGCGGCGCGTGCTTGGCAATGGACGCGCGTAATACTGCGCCCTTCAGGAGAAGTTCACATAGTATCAGCGGCTTTCTTGAAGCTAGGGAGAATTTTCTTCGAACAATACGACTCACCACCCTAATTTCCCTCTTCTTGTACGACCTCCCCTTCTCCAGTCTCACTGCACTTTCCTAGATTTCCCCAACTTCCTACCAGTTTTCCAGTTTTTCCAGAATTTCCTGAAAATTTTCTAAGTTTTCGCCAAAATTTTGCTGGCAGAGGGAGTACATAGCACCATAGCACATGTGAAACGAGACAATCCAGGAAAAGTCAACAAACCGGGAAAAGAGTTTTTCCCCAACGCCGCGGATTTCTCTCAATGGCAAATACGACCCCGCCCCCCCCCCTTATGGCGTCCGTGAACTAAAAAAATCAACCTGATCCCACCTTTCCCTCAGCGACCAAATACGACCCTCCGTTGAGGATCCCCCAACGTACGACGTGGTCTGATTAGGATGCAGCTAAAGAAGGAAGTAGTTTTTGAAGAGGATAAAGGTCATATAGGACTCCACGTCGGCATAATCCAGTTGGAGAATCGCGCTTCCCCTCACCATCAATATGGTTCCGCTTGGTTCTATTTTTTTTTTTTTTTTTCTTTTTATGGCTAGTTCCCAAGCGGCTATTCTTACTTTTTGATTTACTTGTCCACATTCTTGTCTGTCGCATTTCCCAGCCAACAATACGTTCAAACAGAAGCTTTTCTTTTTCGTTTTGGATGGCTTTTGCAGCTTTGTAAGTCAAACCACCATATCATCCATCTTTTCCTGTAAAGCTCCTCCAGCCTATCTAATTCCAAGCTTGTAGAACCGGTTGAGTTACAAAACTGCACTATGTTCATGAATATCTTTGGATTGTTGTGATATTTATCATATTATTATTATTATTTTGCGGCGGGGTGGTGTAGTGCTAGTCATGCGATTCACCAGACGCAGGTCGGACGTCAGTTCCTGGAGTGCTGTCCCTTCCACGGTCAATCATGCCTTCTACATTCAGTGACGATTAAACTGGTTATCTTCAGACTCGTCTCGGGAGAGAACTACTCTGCTTTTGTACCATCGGCTGCCGTCCCCCCCCACCCCAAGTCATTGCCTGGCCACATGCTTCAGGCAAGCCACTACGATGATTGATCGGCGCCGAGACTTATCCTTTATTATTTTCTGAGACGGAGGTGGTGCGAATGGCAAGTGGCGCACTTATCGCGCACCGTTTCCGTGAGTTCATGTGTCCTGGATCGGCTCCCGCTTAAACTAATCAAGCCTTCCTCGCCAGGGACGGTAGGTCCACTACGATTCCTGATGGAAGAGGGAAGCGTATTTCATCCCGAAAATGGATCGATCAGCGGCGGACTTTATTCTCGTTATCCTTTTTATTATTAGCGGGTGAATAGCTAGTGATCTCGATTGGATATGTTCAGGCTAGGGTAGCTGTTGTGTCGCAGTATCTCGCTGTGAGATGTCTCGATGTGTTCGCCTGGTCAGTAGGTTTCCGTTGTCGGTTGGATAGATTGATATGCGAGTGATTAGTGCTCGTCGCTGTGCCGTGGTGCGAGAGCGCGCGCGAGAACGCCAAGCGCTATCGGTGTTGTTGTGCGCTATTAGCCGTGTTTATGGCTACCTTTTGATCACAACGGCTTCTTCTCTTGATCGGCTGTAGCTCGAGGGCTATTTTTGGAATTCTTATCATTTAGTTGTCATTACATCTTGTACTTTTGCCTTATGGTGAAGCTCTTTCTTGAAGTTCACGCCATCAAGTTCCTGGTCCTAGGGTCTTTCACCTGTAAGTTGAGAGTTGGGACAGAAGGACTTGGAATGAGCAGGTTGAGCCTTGACTTCATTCTTGAGTCTGCCATCTCTCCAACTTTTTCCGAGAGCTCACCAGGGGTATAAACCTCTTTAGGATGTATGCATCTCCGACCAACAAGCAGAAGTAGCAGCTATGCGGCACCGCCATGCAGAACCGCCATATAGAGCGCGTGGGACGGAAAAAAATAGTGTTCATCCCCAGGCCAAACACGACCCCTTCTGCACCGGCTAAATACCACTACCATTGTGTTTCACACAAGGGATGGAGACTCTAGAGCGCATGTTGAGGAATTTTCGACGCATGTCGTGTCGAGTTTGGGGAAAAATATCATAATTTTCGATTTTTCTCTGTTCAGGCTCGTTGGACCCCTCCCTATCGGTGGCGTGACAAAAGTTGGCACTATTCACCTTTAACTCTCCAACTCATTCAAAATCAGCCCAGACTCTGGTCGATATTTTTCTTTTGGGGTAGATTCGACTAGAGTTTTGTCCTAGGGGGTACTTCGACCCCCTGAATACGAACATCTCATCTTTCAAAATGAAGTACCTTGCATCCGCGCGGTAAAAACCTGGCTAGAATTTTGACGATTGGAGCAGTAAAGAGTGAGTAATGCTCAATTTTACTGTCTCTAATACTTGATCTGAATTTTCTGCACCCCTGCCCGATGGATATTAGTGTCGTGTTAAGGAGAAGCGCCATGCTTCCCTCGACGACGTCTTCGGCCTCAGACGGCCACTTAGGTGGTCCTGTCAGTGGTTCCTGGGCTTCTATAAAGATACAGTCTTGTTGGGGCGTGTCAGGAGCTGCCTTTGGCGCGGCGAAGGGCCTATCTCCACCAAACCGTGGAGGCTGACAGGCGATCACAGTTCATGGAGTACTTATGCTGTGATAAATAAACTTTATTCATTGTCGCATTTTTCGGTCGGCTGTCTCAAAGACACATTTCATGCTGGTGGTGCGGGCTGATTTGGACCTCCCATTGCACTTTGCTCACTTACACTCCTTATCCCTGGGACGGGGTAGGCGTGGCTTTTAACATGGCAAAGGACGGGTTTCTCAAGGGATACTTTAATTTGAAACAACTGCTATCTTGCTCTCTGTAAGATGTAGACATTACGACTGCTCCAAAATGACAATGTCTCAAGGAAACCTGGGCCGCCGCCATTTTAAAATCAAGTACAGTAAATCAGCCACGCCTACCCGATCTAAGGGATTTCGAGTATATGCACTCTCACCCCCCTTAGATGCAGGAGTGCACCGCTGAAGAAGGCACCACTGTGGGCTCGGACTCTGCCCATGCGATTGCCGTACGTTATGTCTTTCTGTTGAAGTTGTTACTAGGATGAAATCGTTCATTGAAGACAGTGCAGGATTAGCCAAATTTCATCGATTCGCGTTTAGGATCGTTTGGAGTTCTGAAACTTCCGTATCTGTTCTCTTTTTCGATTTTCTTGTTTCTCGACGTTCTGTTGAACTGTCACTTTGCCAGTTTCCGGTTCCTGAGAAATATTTGGGCAGTCACAGCTTCCGCATCGGCGTATTTTTCCCCAAATCAGTTACACCACACTTACGATTCACCCCTTGCCTCGCAAAAATGACGACCTCTGATGATTTCTGATGGTTTCACCATTTCTGTCCCGGGTCTTTGTCGTTATTTTCTCCAGAATAATGCCGATTGCCCGATATGTCTTCTTTGAATGGCCAGTTGGCTGTTTCACAAACGCGGCGGGGGGTCTGATCGGTTCGGCATCGCTCTTCGTTTGTCACTGATCGTTGCGCGGCCGTTTATCACTCGATATGTGGCAGCATTCACCCCTTTAATGGGAATGCTCTTGTCACTGCTGGACAGGACACCGTCTATTACCTTAGAAGGACATCGTCCACCGAAAATGGGGTTCATTTTGAATATCGTTCGCCTGGTAGCCTACCAGGTTCCATAGGTTCCGGAGGGTTCCGGGTGGATTTCTCTCAGACCTTCTTCTCTTCACGAGCATTCAAGTGCTTCATTCACCAGAGGCTAATTGTCTTTTCACCTTCCTTTTTCAAGATTTATGTTTTCCAGTCCAGTTTTCCGGGACACAAATCATTGGAAGTTCTTTTTTTTTTTTCGATCACCATAGCCACCCACGATTCGTCCAGCTGTTTCTCAGCAAAACCAACTTCTCACATCTGGCTTATCCATCACTAGTTCAGAACTTATGACTTGTTGTTAACCTTCACTTCCGGAGTTGTAAAGTTGTACTTTGCTAAACAGTTGTCCTCTCCTTGCAGAACTTTTGCTTTTGCATGGAATTGCGCCCAACATATTGTGGTGTACTTCTGCCTTTAAAGAGAAATGGAATATAGTAAAAGATTAAAAAAAATGCCTCTGCGGTTCTGAAGCGTAAGAAAAGTATCAGGTGGGGATATTTCACGAAAGAGGCGTAGGGGGCGCAGCGGTAAGTGGCGTCGTTTGCCGGCTGCATGTTCCGGAGTTCAATCTCGGATAGATTTCCACCAGATAGATGAAGATTTTCTCCCAAGTAGACTGGTTATTAGTACCAGACTTGTTTGGCCAGATCTACTGACTTGTGCATTGGCACTTCAGCTCGCACCCCCCGTAACTCATTGCAATACTGGCAAGTTCGCTCTAAAGGCAAGTAGTACGATAAATCTCCAAGACGTGTAGGATTGGTGCGCCAGCAGCACAGAATTCGGCATCCATAAGAAGGCGCTGCGTGGCCCCTTCTCCAAAGGAAGGTACCCTCATAAGGCCCTGT